TATAGCTTTTGAAAAGTGGTAGAGAAAAGAAATTACCTCAACCATTCCGAAGTAGAAACGATAATTTGACAGATTAAGCTAAATCAGCCACAGGGCAACTCTCCTTTGGCAAGAAGTTATTGACATCGAGCCCTCAGTCTTAATTTCTTGCCAGGAGAGAGCTGCCCTATAGCTAATTTGCTTATAACAATGGAAGTTTTCTTCTCCATTTCTTTCTTCCTCATGTGCCTCGCTTAGCTCTGGTCTGCATCAAAACGTCCCGCAGTCTTTTATGTAGTTTGGGAGAGCCGAATAAACCACACTGAAACACTAGCATATGCTTGCGGGTTTCTGCATTATTCTGTGGATATCCATTAACAATATATATACCAGCTTCTTTTTTCTTTTGTCGACCATTTGTTTATAAATTTCTGATTCCCTCTTTGTGGTCTAAAAAGTTGTATTGGTCTTGGTACTTTTTACACGAGAGAAGTGGAGAAAAGAAGCTGACTTGAATTTGCATCAAAGATTTTTTGTTGCCTGATGGTCCCTCTTATCGCTATCGAATCCTTCTTTCTTTTCTTTCTCTTTCTTGCTTTGATTTTCCATCAAAATGTACAAACCATAAACAATGTTTTGGGCTCCACTAAGTTTACATATAAAAAAGTATAATGATCTATTGCAAAGATTTTCTTCACAAAGTTGATTTGGTCTGTGGCATCTTTTGTCATCCCACCATTATATTGTCATCCAAAGATTACTTGTATTTTGCACTACTATGGATCAGCGATTACAACCGAATCAGAATCTTATGAATCACATTTTACATGAATATTGAACAAAGAGAAAGACACCCATTGAAAAAAAAAAAAAAAGACAAGAAAAGAGAGGCTCATTTTCATTTTAGGGTTAAGGTAGATTAGCACCCGAAGTATTTTCTTGAGGTGCATTCAACACTATAAAATATTTTGTGATGAATCCAATATCCTGAATTTTTTTTAACAATATGTCTAGCATCTTGAAATATTTGTTGATACATCCAGCATTTTAAAATATTTTTTTTTAGGTACGTTCAGTATTTTAAAATATTTTTTAATGCATCTAGCATCAAGGCAAAAAAAAAAAATTTAGAATGTTGGACGCATATGAAAAATATTTCAGAATGCACGACAAAATATTTTAGAGTGCTAGATGTACCAAAAAAATATTTCAGGTGCTAATCCACCTTAACCCTTCATTTTACAACCTCACTAAGATAAGCCATAGTTTCTATATGTGTGTGTGTGTTGTTTTATTTCAATACTTTTATTTATTGTATTAGATTTTCCCGATAGATTGAGGCTTGAACTGTGCGCTATTCCCATTAATGTAGTCCAGAATGAAGTTATTGGGTTGAAATTGGGAGAGACAAGAAAGGTAACTTGCTTTTGCATATAAAAGGAGAAAACACTTTACATGGCATAACTAGTTTTGACATTTTTTCAACCACTAAACGTATCTTGGCATGCATAATAATCTATACATGACACGTGTCACCTGTCTACAATAGTTAACAATATAACTTTTAACATTATCATATACATTCAGTGCATGTTATGATTCTTATTTAATAATCAAATAAACTAATTTTCCATCTTTAAAAACATCGGTTTGTTATCAAGATTTTGCAGCCCAATAACATCCAAACTTCTCTTGAGTGTGGAGTTGTAAGTTCGAACCTTTTTTATAAAAAGTGTTATGGGTATGTGATTTTGGGGGGGGGGGAATCATTTGTCTCTAGTTTTGAGTAAGCCCAAATTATTCAATATCAGTCCAATAACGTTATAATCTTCTCTGAGTACGTCTTAGGTGTAGAGTCGTGAGTTCAAACCCTTTATAAAAGGTGATATAGGTGCGTGATTTATGGGGGAAAAAAATCATTTGTCTCTTGTTTTTAGTAAGCACAATTTATTCTTGAGAAATTCACTATGAGATTCCAAGAATGTAATCATAAAGTTGTAAGAATGTGGCTGTGGATATGATCAAGGCATTGAACCAACGACCTTCCACTTTGCACAAGAAATTTGTGTCACGAGGCTTTATAAGAAAAACTACTGACTTTCCCTTTATTTAAATAAGGAATGATGGATGAACTACTGAAATGGAAACAATTTCTGTCACCAGATATCCCATTATCCCCTCTCTATTAACATTGTTTTTGTCATTATTTAGTTGATGGAAGCAACTCACACCCATTGTAACTATAACTATGAAGGATAGAACTCACGGCCTCTTATTTAAGTCAAGATTTAAGCATATACTTAATATCTGTTTGGCCAAATAGTTACAAATGAACTATATTAAATTGCAGATAGACTTAATCCTTAAATTTTAGTTCAAATAACACTTTCAATCCTTTAATAAGTAGAGGCCTCAATGTTACATACTTATATCTAATGCTAACTCATAAATTAGAATAAATACTACCTCTGATTCTTAATATAAAAATCTGTTTAATTTTTATTTTGATCTTAAATATAAGATTTTAATTCACTTTATTTTTCATATTTATATATTTTTTTTTCTGAAAATAGTCATTATAATAATAGTAATTTCAGCTAATATATTTAATTAGTAAGGATATTTTAGGAAAGACAATACATATTTATTACAAATGACTAAACTAATTTTTTAATTTATTCAAATTAATCAACTAATTCTTATATTAAGAACCGGAAGTAATATAAGGTAACAGTGTGACACTTTCACCCCATGAGTAATCTTCTTAGAAAAAAAAGAAAAGAAAAGAAAATCAGTCCTCATCAGTGTCAACTTTGGTAGGTGAACAACTCGGAATAAATTGATTTTCGAGTCTCTTAATTTGCTTTCGTTTTTGTCATTGTGGAAAAGAGGGGATGTATATAATAATTACGAAGTCTTTGAAAATTTTGAAAACGTGAAAGTTGCTAAGCGATAAATCATAAAATGAATACACCCCAAAGATATCAACCTGAAGGTCAACATTAATCCTCTGATATTGATAACAAATAAAAGGAAAAAGTACAGTTTTAATTATTCAACTTTATGCAATATTTTATTTTGGCCCCTTTAATTTTATAAAGTATCTTTTTAGTTTTTTAATTTTAACACTATTAATTTTTTAATAAAAAAATGCCAGAAATAAAATTTTAAACGTTAAGAAAAATATTCACAAATTTAAACATCTTAGAATTTCTGTAATCTAGTTACATGGTTTATTGTTCTTTTTTTTTGGTACAATGATTTAATTTAAAGTAAAATACTCTAACCTCCCTTGCATTTTGTCTTAATTACACAGACCTCTCCTTTATTCTAAAAACATACACTTAAATTCAAACTGTTAATTCCGTTAAGAATATTTTAAAAAATATTTTTTAATTCAAATTTATATTGAAATATTTTCTGTTTGCTAAATTATTCTTCATAACACTAAATCCCAAAATCTTGGTTAAAACTATATCAAAAAATTTAAGATTTTCTCCTTTACCTTAACTTTATTTTTTTTTATTTTTGAAAATTGTTGTTTGTTTAATGTTTTTATCGTATTGGGCCAAAAAATTAAGTAATTTAGTTAATGCAAACATAAATTTAAATGATTTATATAAGTTTCTAAACTTGTATAATTTATATTATGTGATAAGAAAATAAGCATTCAACATATTTTCTGGCCATTTAAAAAAAATCTTGAGTTTCAATATTTCACGAGGAACTAAAATTATATAATTCTATAATATAATTGAAATTAAAAATTTTATAACATATTAAAAATTTTGAAAATACATGTATTATAATTTTTTTGTTTAAATGTTTAAATAATATTTATGTTAAAGAGGGATACTTTGATCAAAATAAAAATTTAAAAGTCAAACTTAAAGGTTGGATAAATGGAAATTGAATATTAAAAATATAAGGGAGGTTTGTGTAACATACATTTTAATTTAAAGAAAAGTTTATATACATTTTTAAAATAGAAAAGAGGTTTCTACAATTTAAATATAATAGATGGGTAGTCAATGTATTTTACTCTTTAATTTATTATTCTGTTGTAGGGCATATTAACTTCAGTTAGTTGGGCTACAAGTTAGATGGGCCTTAGACTACTAAAGCCCGTAGGTAGGGTATATGGTCATTGCCCAATATATATTGGGCATGGTAGCCCAGTGAAATGCATGAGTTTTTGATTCATCATGGAATAAAAAAAGTTTGGTTCAACCATTTTTCTGGGGTTTCCTTTGCGGAATATATTAAGTTTAATTTCTATGCCGGTAAAAAAAAAAGTTTAATTTTTTAAAATAACAATGATTGACAGAAAAATCATTTGAGACTAACTGTGTTAGAGTTAAAAGATTTAAAAATAATGTATAGAATTAAGGGGTCAAACTAATACTTGATGTAAAGACACTTTTATCAAAAAGAAAAAAAGAAAATTGAATCCTCTAATTAATTTGTTAAATATTTACACTAACCCTTAATTAAATATGATGAGCCCGAGTAGCTGGACCTCTTAAATAACGTGACTGTACCGTTTGGACGAAGCATATCAAACAAATTTGGCTGGGAAAACAGTCCTACCCAAATGCCTTAGCCATCTAGCCTTCCTAATGCGGTTCAAAGTTACGGACTAGTAATTATTAATACATGCATAAATTGCTTTTCTTCTTACGTAAGTTATGAAGCTCATACAAATGTGATAACTTAATCAAGCAACGTGGAGAGAGACGTGCATGTCAAAGAAATTAATTAATCATTGTAAAACAAAAAACTACTTCAAGAAGATCTGAATCGATCTTTGCATGGAGGAGGCAGTACGAAGTGGTATCTAGCTAGTTGAACAATCAAAATTTATTTGCGTGTGGGCAAAAGGTGATGAAACATCGACTCTCAAGTCCTGGCTATTTCATATATAAAAGCAAACGGATTACAGCTCCCTTTCTGTGAGAAAAAAGAAAAACCCATATTATTCTATCCTCAGTCATCATCAGAAGAGAAGATAATCAACACAAATGGGTTGGAGGTTTCTGCAATTTATTTGGCCCTTTCTTGCCGGAAGCCTCTTCTTCTTTAATGCCTTCTCTTACTCGGAAAAGGGTACGTCTATTTTCAACAAGTGAATTACGTTAAAACGAGCTTTTAATTTCTGACACATGTTCCTTTCAATATGTAACTATATATATATATATATATATATTATTTATGCAGCCCCATATTTCACGTTCATTAAAGAAGCAAGGTCTGCACCAGCGGTATCACTATATGACTACATAGTGATCGGAGGAGGAACATGCGGTTGTCCCTTGGCAGCAACACTGTCACAAAGAGCCACTGTCCTTGTTCTTGAACGAGGAGGCTCGCCTTATGAAAAACCAGACAACATAAACCTTAACAACTTTGTTGATTCTCTCATTGATACCACCCGATCTTCTTTCGCCCAGCAATTTATATCCACAGATGGGGTCCTCAATGCTCGGGCCCGTGCCCTGGGTGGCGGGTCGGTAATAAATGCTGGGTTTTACTCTCGGGCTGGGCACATGTATGTGAGGGAAGCAGGCTGGGATGAGCGGCTGGCGGAGGAGTCGTATGAGTGGGTGGAGAAGGTGGTGGCGTTTGAGCCGACGGTGAGGCAGTGGCAGTCGGCGGTGAGAGATGGACTGAGGGAAGTGGGGGTGTTGCCTTACAATGGTTTTAGTTTTGAACATATGATTGGGACTAAAGTTGGAAGCTCTATTTTTGATCGCATGGGCCATAGGCATACTGCTGCTGATTTGTTCACTTATGCTAATCCCAACTCCATTTCTGTTTATATTCATGCCACTGTGCAAAGAATTTTGTTTCGTCACAGCCCAGGTAATCTCGATTTTGCTTTTCATTTGACATATTATGATACATGTTTGGTACTCCTGTGTTACTCTTTTTAACTTTAAATATAAGAGTTAGTTAAATATTCGTTTTGATTTTACGTGTTAGATTTCAATCTTTTTTGTCTTCTAAATGCATAAACTTTCTTTTTCTGGGTTATTCATATTGATTGCATACGTTCAATGAAAGTAATAATTGCATGGGTATTTTAAGCAAGTTAGCATGTATATTTGTTACAAATAACTTTTATAGCTAATTTTTATGAATTAGTTATCTAGCTTCTACATTTAAGATTGGAAAAGGTATATCAAAATAGTTTAGTCCTTTTTTGGATGGTGGTTTTTAACGTTAACCAAACACTTAAGATTGTAAATACGTCATCGTATGATGTTGATATCATATAGTCCATCTCTTTGATATTGAAACAATAATTTGACATGCTTCAGAAAATATAAAGACCAAAAAATGATCACAAAAAAGTGGTGTTTTCTTTTTTGGCACAGGAAGTAGGAGGCCGCAAGCGTATGGAGTAATATACAGAGACGAGGTTGGAATCATGCATAGGGCATACTTAAAAGGGGAGGGTGAGATTATATTGTCAGCAGGGGCAATAGGAAGCCCACAGATGCTAATGTTGAGTGGAATTGGGCCAGCCCAACATCTTCAGGCCCATGGAATCAGAGTGGTGTTGGATCAGCCCATGGTGGGGCAAGGCATGGCTGATAACCCCATGAATGTTCTGGTAGTGCCATCTCCTGTACCTGTTGAAGTCTCTCTCATCGAAACAGTGGGAATCACTAACTTCGGTTCCTACATTGAAACTGCCAGTGGATTAAACTTGGGCCTTTCTTGGCCCCAAAGGCTTCAAAGCATTTATGATATTGTCTCCAACCAGGTTAGTCTTCTAGCATATCTCTTCTCTCACTGTAAAAAGTTCAGCACTTTTAAAGCTTTTTCTTTTTGGATAAGGAAAAATGGAAGGGAAAAAGTTGAAAAGAGAGAAAATAAAGAAAAGGAAAAGAGGATAGAAAACATTTTCTTCCCTTGTGTTTTGATATAAAGAGTGAGGCACTAACAACTTAAGATTATAAGTGGGATTGAACTCATGACCTCTCACTTACAAGAGAGCTTTCATGTCACTAGACTACGAATTCTTTACCTTCTCATGTTTTAATCAAGAGAAAACAAATAGGAATTAAAAATTGACTAATTTCATATAATAATAGAAAAGTAATTAATTTTACTTGCACAAAATAAGAGAGTCTTGCTCTTGAAGAAGCTAATAAATACTTTATCCTTGTTATGAAAGCTCAACCTTTTTCTTCTTTTGCTGAAGACCGGCCAACCATCCATGTCTTTCCCCAAGGCAGATGTGAGTAATAAGTGGACGAACAACATTGGATCTTTTGCGAATCTAAGTCTAGAAGGAGGAGTCATACTTGAAAAAATAACAGGACCTCTCTCAACTGGTCACCTTCAACTCTTAACCACTCATCCAAACGATAATCCATTAGTGACCTTCAACTACTTCAAGGAACCAGAAGACCTCAGGATCTGTGTTGAAGGAATGAGAACCATCATAGATGTGGTAAACTCGAGGGCTTTCTCAAGGTTCCGATATAAGAACGTGCCAGTGCAAGCCCTAATTGACTTGGTCCTGAGCTTACCAGTGAACTTGAGGCCAAAACATCCTAGTGCTGCTTTCTCTTTGGAACAGTACTGTATAGACACTGTGATGACAATATGGCATTATCATGGAGGCTGCCATGTTGGGAGGGTTGTGGATCGAGACTATAAAGTTATGGGTGTGGATTCTTTGAGAGTTATTGATGGTTCAACCTTTTCTGCCTCACCTGGCACCAATCCTCAAGCCACTGTTATGATGCTTGGAAGGTACGTCTTCAAAGAGACTTGAGAGCAAATCTGGAGAAATTTTAGTTACAAATTTAGGTGTTTGATTATTACTATCGAATCAAAACGTTCTATCGTGTTTTATGTTTTATTATTTCAACATTCTGAGATGACTTTGGTAATTTGGTGCAGGTATATGGGACAGAGGATTTTATTGGAAAGGTTTCTTCATAGAGGGTAGCCAAAGAGATTTAAGGATGAGTCCTTTGTTTCGTTAACTAATTGTTATGTTTCCACTTTGCAGAATGTTTAATGTTTGTACGTCTTGAATAATTAGAAATCAGTGACACTAAATTCGCGCGCGCGCGCGCCCACGTATAATAAAAAAAATTCACACACACACACATATATCCCAAGCCCGAAAGTTACTTGCATTTGTATGATCTATGAATTATTTATTGGTGTATTATTTTTATTTGGGACAAATGTATTGGTCTAGTTGATAATTATGAACTTCTTCATTGGCTAAAAATCAATGGCCCTTCAAATGCACTGATATAATATCCTAGATAATCTGAGTAATGTATTAGTATCTAATACATTGAATACTCTGGAAAGAAAAACTAATTTTAACATTATGAAGAAGAAGATGAAAATATCAATGCCAAAGACTCGTGCTAAAAACACACTATGTACCACAACATCAATAAGTCATCTAATTTAGAGGTACACGAAAATCTCTAGACGCACATTTGTGGTTATGTGCGGAAAATTGATATTGATCGATAAGCTATTAATTAATTACGATATATATATATATATATATATATATAGCCTTTGTGAAAAGATGGAGAAAAATTTATTTAAAAACAAAAAATTACCTGAAGCATTCCATGGAAACTGAGAGATTAAGCTAAAGCAGCCACAGGGCAACTCTCCTTTGGCAAGAAGCCAAGTCATTGAGATTTGACAGACCTTTGACAGTTGAACAAGGAGTTCGACGAGTCGATAGTCCTCAAATAACTAACTACCTGCCACGAGAGAGCTGTCCTATTGCTGATTTGCTTATAATAATATGGAAGCAGTTTCGTACTCCATTTCTTTGTTCTGGTTTATATCAATATATGCGTTCCTCGGTCTCTTATATAGATTGGAAGAATAGAATAACTAGCATATGCTTCAGGGTTTTGGCATTATTCCGAGGATATCCACTAGCAATATACGAGCTCGTTTTCCTTTCTTTACCTTTGTTAACAAATTCCAGATTCCCTCGACTAAAAAGTTGTATTGAGAAGTGGAGAAAAGAAGTTGTCATATGACAATGGGCCCTCTTTATCGAATCGTTCTTTTGTCTTTCTTCCTTGCTCTTGTTGGCGTCTTTCTCTTCATTGAAAGAGAGAGGTCAAAGGGAGAACCACGCCTGTCCATGGTACTTCACTTAGCCTCTTGTCGATGAGAAATGTTGTGGATGTCAAGTGCTCTCACCAAAATACTAGCATATTGGGTTAGAGAACTCCTTTAAACTTATAAACCCCACTCCTCTAAAACCCTTTACACGCATCTTTTTTCACGCATGATATATCCCATATCCTTTACTAAATGCTTCTAATACTTTTTTTATAATTATTTTCATCATATAAACTCAGAGTTTTTCCAAGTTATTTCGGATTTAAGATTAATCTCTATTGAGCCAAGAGTATTAAGGTTAAAGTCTTCTTAATAAGTGTGCCTCACAGGATTTGAACCCGTGTTCTCCTCCTTATAGGATGAGACTATTTACTATTTCAATCAATAACTTATTAGTTATGACCAAGTCAATTTCTTGTGCATCATCCTATTAAAGGTAATCTTGTTTAGGACATTGTTAGGTGCTAAATATAGACACCTCTTCCAATAGAGACTCAAACTGTAGTTTGTCACATTGTAAGAGAGTAGCCTCTTCTATTAGACTTAACTATCATTGGTTATTATATGCACATTTTGATATTATACGAAGTTTTTAGAAGAAATTTTGGGTTCATTTTTTAAAACGTTTTGATAGTTTCCATGAATATTTAATATTATTTGGCCAAAAAAGGGACATTAAATATTTTTTCCCATATATATAATAAGGGTAGTAAGAGAAAGTAAAAATTAATATGACGTTACAATTGAGTATGGTCAATAAGAATAATATTAGAAATTACTTAAATTTTATGATACATTTAATGCTTTAAACTATTTTTATTAGCACATGTGAATCAGTTAAAAATATTTTATATTATAGACCAGAAAAAGTAATTTTTACAAAGATGAGTTACAAATTTCAGAGGTTTGGTTATAAAATTAAAAAAATAAATTACAAGTGAATTGTAAATGTTTAATTTTTTAAATATTAGAATTTTAGTTACAAACATTATATAGTTAGTTGTAATCATATTGTAAATTGTACAATCTTTGTAAATCTTGAAAGTTCAATTATAAATCTGACAAGTTAATTATGAAAATCAGAAAGTCAATTGGTCAACTTCTCAAGCATACGAATTAGGTGCTTTGTTATTTTCAACAAGCTCTTCAACAATTGCAGTTCTCCTTTTCTCAGTAAAAATTTTAGGATTGACGTGTTTTTGACAATTTGCAGCTTATGTTTACAACTAATTTTTCATGATCAAAACTATGTTCCCAAAATTTATAATTTATCCGGTGAGATTTGCAAAAAAAATTACTACTTATATGCACTTTATAATCCTATTTGTATCAAATTTTCTTATTTTGATAACTCAGCTTCTGATATTTACAAATGAGCTTTTACAATTTACAATTACATATATTGCTAATTACTTAAAAATCTTTTCATCAATATGCTTTTTATTTTGGGACAATAACAAAAAAAAAAAGCTGAAATTTTGTAAATACCAAACAAAGAATATTAACAAAAATTTGTTGTTATTTGCAAATTCAAACTTGTTAATACCAAATAAAATTGTGTTACTAAATCTGATTTGAGATTTGTAATTTTTAGTTTTTTTTCCTATCATTTTCCTTTTTATTTTTAACATCGGTCCTTCCTTGGCCATGTCGCTTCACAATTTTTTTATCCTTCCATGTGACTTTTTTTTGGGTTCTACGTACAACATTTTCCCCTTCATCAATTTTCTTTCTTTTCTTTCATCTTTTATTAAAGACAATTAAACACGCTAAAGGGAAGAATTTTCACTATGTATGCCATATGACATTGGAATTTCTTTTTTAATTTTTAACTAGACCACATGCTATTCCCAATAATCTATATATGCTTATTTGTAATATGAAATTTGGATTATTTAAATTTAATTTGGATGTATAGTTCATCTTTCTAAATTTTTGCTCTTGATTTTTTGAAGTAATAATTAGAGTTTTCCTTCAAAAAGTAACAGTGAGAAAATAATTTTAATTATAAATTCGGTATATCAATAAAAAAATATATAAAAACAAGATAAATTAAGCATTGGCCTTTAATGTGGACAGTTTTTTGGGCCAAAACTTTAATGTGGACAGTTGGAACTTGGAAGATTTGATGAAGACCGTGCTGGAAGATTATCAATTTGCTGAACTGAAGCGCCGGCTACTTGATGTACTTCCCCTGTTTCATAAAACTGCCTCCGTTTATTTTTACAAGATCCAAATTTTTCAGGCAAAAAAAATTATAAGATCAAAATTTTTAAAGTAACTTATTAATTTTCATAAGGTTTAGGTTAGATCTAGACATTAAATGTATTTTTACCATGCTCCTAATTAATTGTATTATCCTTTCGCACATGTTTTTTTTTTCCTATCTATGTCTCTCTCTTATAAATAGGGATATATTTTAAAAAAAATATTTCTTACATATTTATTATTTCTAACTAATATTAACACATTTCTTAAACCACACATAAATTTGGTTATTTATATCTTATAAAAACAACTGGAAATAGAGTAAAAATGAGACAATGCATTTAATTTAATTTTAAATATAAGATTTTAATTGCGCTGGCAAGGTCCGAGTAGGATAAAAACGTTCCCCTGCTTAGCAAGTGGGGGAAAATTATTGACACATAGTGATGGTTAGCAAGTGGGGGCAAATTATTGACAAATAGGCAAGAAGACACGTGGCTAGCAGCACTGCGTGTGGAATCCGGGGATCAATTCTCAAGCCACTATTTCCGTGCATTGACATAATGCACCGCCTTACTTTTCAGAAATAGGAAATCACATCATTAATATAAGGTCTATTAATTAATTTAAAAAGATTAAAAAAATTAAATAATAACTTCATTATAGTGTATTCTTCCGATTCTAAATATAAGACTTATTTTATAGTATAGTTATAAACTACAAAATGAATCTTATATTTAGGACCGGAGAAGTATATTACATGATCTCTTTAACATACTTATGCTTATCATTGATTATATATTAGTTTATAATTAAGCCAGGTAAATTAATTTTAAAAAATGATAAATATAAATATTTCAAGTAATTTATTTATTTTTTTAATCTTTTGAAGTTAATTAATTGAGTCTTATATTAAGGACCAGTGAGAAGATTAAAAAATTAAATAATAACTTAATTATAGTGTATTCCTCTGATCCTAAATATAAAACCCATTTTGTAGTGTAATTTTACACTACAAAATGGGTCTTATATTTAGGACCGGAGAAGTATATTACATGATTTCTTTAACATACTTATGCGTATCATTGATTATATATTAGTTTATAATTAAGCCAGGTAAATTAATTTTAAAAAATGAATAATATAAATATTTCAAGTAATTTATTTATTTTGTTAATTTTTTCAAGTTAATTAATTGAGTCTTATATTAACGACCAGAGATAATATATTCTAATACAACCAAACGTTATATATTATATGGTAGAAAGGATTGGAGCCCAACAATATGTGTCCTAACAATAACAAACTACCACAGTACAATAAGAAATGAATTATGATGGAAAAGAATCAACTAGCAGGAAAGTAACAAACCCATGTTCATGAAATGCAAAATGGGGAGAGATTTCGTTTACAGATTTGTGAATAATAACTTGCAACCACCACTATTTAAACCCAAATAATCTTCAAAGAATGCTTATGAAATGATTAAGACTCAATTTGCTCAAAATAATGAATCAAATACGCAAAAAGGAAAACTTTTGCATTTTCTACATTGCTTGCTCTCTAGTATAGAATTGGCTATTTAGGGTGTGTTTGGGTAATTGCCCAAACCATGGTTTGAGCAAAAAATTTCTCAAACACTTATAAGAGATCAGAAACCATGGTTTTAGCTCAAAAAACCATGATTTGAGAAGAATCATTTTGAATATGTTTTTGGAAAAAAAATTGGAGAGTGTCAGATGGTTGCTAATAGATATGAGGATTTGTTTTTTTTCACCAGACACATATATATACCCCTCATCTTCCGCCTTCGGTCCTTCACTGTTCAGAGGTAGTATGTTATTATTATTTTTTTTTTACCAAAAAAGAGGTAGTATGTTGTTACATTCTCTTCTGCCTAGGGTACATTTTTTTTATTCATTTCTTTTTTGTTCACAAAAAATTATTCATCTTTTTCAAAAATATTTTTAATCTTATATTTTGTAAATGTTTTTACACAAGTAGTAACAATTAATTAATTATATTAAAGATGAGAGGTAGTATGTTGTTATAAAAACTAGTTGTGAAAAAATGTTATAGAATTTCATGTTTAAAATCTGTAAAGCAAATTAATATTTTTCTGTTTTGCTAAAAAAAAAAATTAATATTTTTCTGTTAGAAAAAATAATCATTTTTCTATAAACATATTTAATCTTATAATTTATAAATATATATACACATATTAATTATTTATTAATTATATTATGTTATATATTATTAATTATGTTAGTAAAAATTATTTTATTAACAATTTTAATTCTTCAAATTAAAATATATTATAAAATCGATCTTTTATATAATTATTATATTAACTTATATCTTTTTTAATAATTTGCACATATAAAAAGTACTTTTGATAACAACTATCCAAACACTATCACTTTATCAGAATTACTTTTTTAGTTTTTTTATAAAATCTATTATCCAGAAGCTATTCTCCAAACTATGGTTTGATTTCATCCAAACACCCCCTAAATCAGTAAGAAATAGCTTTCTAAACGCGACATAAGAGCGGCTTAGAAAGTCAGTTACTTTTTAGACCGATCGCACAATCAATTTGAAAAAAAAAAAATTTTCTAGACTAGTTGTTACTTCAGCAAATCTAAAAAATGGATATACACACACGCATATGCTTTTCTTTCCAAAGCTCCGTTTCCAAACGCCTATAATATAAATTTGAGAGATAATCCAGAAATTCCTATTGTAATGAATATATTTAAAGTTTAAAAGATTTATGCATTCAGTTCCGATTTCTGAACAATTTAAATATTATGTATTCTAAAATCAGAAAATATGGCTGATTTTGAAAATTGAAAGCACCTTCCGGGTTGGGGTTTTTTTAATGTTCCTTTTCCGTCTTCCTCCATTAAATTATTCAATTAATTCTTTCAGCTGCAAACAATTTTTTGGACCCATTACAGAGTTCGACTTCAATTCCCTGCCATCATGGAGGGTGGCAAATGGGCTATCTTCCTTTTCCATCACAACCCCCGACAAGCTGTAAATGTTAATAGAAATTATTGATTTGTAGTCTGTGAAACAGTCAGACAACCTAAAAAATGTGTGATGTTTGGTGGCGGTGGCCCCCACACCTTTCTTTCAAAGGGAAAGATAATACTCTTCATATCCTAAACGTAAAACCTATTTTATAATATAAATATAAGTCTTATATTTAGAATCAAAAAAATATGAATAAATTAAAGAAATCATTCATCATTCATTGAAAAAAAGAAGTCATTGGTCAATGAAAGAATGAGAAAAAGCAACATTGGAAGCTTGTAACAGACTAACAGTAAAAAAAATAGATAAATAAATTTAAACTATTAAAATTTTATCTGTATGTAGGTGAAAAAAATTAGAAAAAATCTGTTTTATGATAATAGCCTACAGTTATAAACTGGTCAAATCAAATTCTAACCGTTTAAATTTATTTATCTATTTTTTATTTAAAATTATAATAATATTTGTTTTAATAAAATGTTAAATTGGGATCACTGGAATTTCGATCTAATAGTTATGGAGAGAAAATTAAGAAAGATAGTAGAGGCAAAAAGGATGAGAAGGATAGGAGAGAGATTCTTGGTCCCAAAATGACGATGTATTATTGTAGAGGGTAGCTGGGTAGGTTGGTCTTGGCCTTGAGGAGGCATTTCCTGGGTGTCAGCTCTCAACTATTTGATGGTTGTTTTCTAAAAACCATCAAATTGTTATAAATTGTTATAATTTTTTTAATATAAAAATAAAACAATTTGATGTGTTTTTGGCCTTACTCAAATATTTACTCATACTTGGCTTATCAATGATTAAAATAATAACTATTAAATAAGTCATTGCTCAACCATCACCTTAGGATACTTGACGCTTTTTTGTTTAATTGATGACAAATATAAAACGTCAAATAAGTCTAATTCTGTAATAGCAAAATTTATTATTCTTCAATGTCACTTTACCACGAAATTTTCCCATTCACCAATTGCTTTTTATTTTTAATTTAACTATAGTCTGTACCCTGTCCTGTTTCAATCACACATGCTTAATTATTTTTATGATGGAATTTGTATTAATTATTTAAATTCAATTTAAATGGTTTCTTTCGGAAAAAAAAGGAAACATTAGAAATTTTTTTAAAATTCCATATTTTTAATCTCAAAAATATTAATAATATAAAAGTAAAATAAAATAAATATGGATATTCAATTTGGACGATAGAATACGTTGAAGGCGCTACGCCCAAAAAAAAAAAAAGATGATGAAGACCACGCTGGAAACCATTTTCATACGCAACTAATATTGCAAAAGTTGGTGAAACATTAATTTCGAAGCACGACGAGATTCGTTTCTGTGAAGAAAAAGGGTGTGTGTGTGTGTGTGTTTCTCTGTGTGTGTCTGTGTCTGTGTGCGTGTGTATCCTTAACTTTCTGAAGAGAAGACGAACCTGAAATGGGTGGGAGGTTTCTGCAATTTATTTGGCCATTTCTTGCTGGAAGCCTCTTGTTCTTTAATGCCTTCTCCTACTCCAAAAAGGGTATGTCTGTCTATATATTTTTCAGCAAGAATGATGAATTTTATTCAGTTCATACTTCTTCATTTTCTCCCATACATCCCTTTCTTTGTTGATTGATTTTTAATTTATATTTGGATTGAATCTCTTTTCTTAAATCATATATGTGTGTGTGTATTGTCATCCCTCCAAACTCGTACAGGTTTAAGATGAGATTAATGAAACAGTTTGTATGCACTTTAAGATGAGATCGAAACACATTGACTTCTAACCTTTAAGATGAGATTGAAATTGGACTTTCTTTTCATACAATGAAATTGGATTGGTTGTTGTTTTTGTATAATCATACGATGTTCAATCATATCTGAGTAATATTAAGTTGAATTAAAAATAGTTCTTCCTGCAAGTACGATTATACTTCGTTATTCTTTTTTTTTTTACCAGCTTCTTTATTGATATTTATATCCACCCCCTTGTCCTAGTTCAACTTGTCCCATCTTTTTGTTAGGTTTTGTAATTCAACTGAAACTTGAAAAAAAAAAATACCGATTATCGATGGAATTAGTGACGGAAATTAAAACTACCAGCACACTTTCCGATGGATTAGTGAACCAACGGAATTTCCCACAGAAATATCTTCCGTCTCTAATTTTTTCGTTGCTAATTTTATTTGTGACAGAATCTGAAATTCTGTGAGTAACATCCGACGGACATTTCATCATAAATCATTGATGGCCTTTCAATGGAAAGTTTTCGAGATGATTAATTTATTGAAAACTAAACATGTTATAATTCAAAAGTATAGCCTAAACATACGTCCTGGATACTTTAAATTTCAAATGTCAACAAAAGTCACACATATTAATAACTCAGTTTTCTAATAATAACTCTTATTTCTAAATTTTTATTGCTATTAGAGGACTAAGATAATCTGAACTTGTTGAAAATTTTGTCAGTAATTTTTCGACGGAGTTTACCATGGATTTCCAATAAAAAAATTTCTGTGACTAATTTCGTCAGAAAATAAAATTATTGATGAAATTTTTGACAAAATATTTTTGTCAATAATTTCCGTCAGGAGTTCTGTTGGTAATTTTACCGATGGAATTCACCATGTGTTTTCAGTGAATTTTTCCGACAGAAAGTATTCCGCCGGTCATTGAGTGTTTTTTTTCCCCAGTAGCGTGACACCAAGAACTTGTTATAAAGTCTTTTAGGATGAGGTTGTGAGTTTGAATTCTCTATAAAAGATACGATGGGTGCGTGAGCTGTAGAAAAAATAAACTGATCGGATCTCTTTCTTTCTGACTGTGTAATTTATACACAGCCCCATATTTGACGTTCATTAAAGAAGCAAAGTCTGCACCAGAAGTATCACTATATGACTACATAGTGATCGGCGGAGGAACATGTGGGTGTCCCTTGGCAGCAACACTCTCACAAGGAGCGACTGTCCTTGTTCTTGAACGAGGAGGCTCACCCTACACCCAACCTGACAAAGTCAACCTTAAAAACTTCCTCAATTCCCTCACAGACACCACCCCATCTCCCTTCGCCCAGCAGTTCATATCCACCGACGGTGTTCTCAATGCCAGAGCCCGGGCCCTTGGCGGCGGGTCGGTAATAAATGCTGGGTTTTATTCGCGGGCGGAGCCCGGGTTTGTGAGGGAAGCCGGCTGGGATGAGGGGCTGGTGGAGGAGTCGTATGAGTGGGTGGAGAAGGTGGTGGCGTTTGAGCCGACGGTGAGGCAGTGGCAGTCGGCGCTGAGAGATGGGCTGAAGGAAGTGGGCGTGTTGCCTTATAATGGTTTTAGTTATGATCATTTGATTGGGACTAAGGTTGGAGGCTCCATATTTGATGACAATGGTAATCGGCATACTGCTGCTGATTTGTTGACTTATGCTGATCCCAATTCCATTTCTGTCTACCTTCTTGCCACCGTGCAAAAGATTTTGTTTCGGGACAGTTCAGGTAACTGATCACAATTACTCTTCCTAATTAACTCATTTAAGTAGATTAATAATATTAATTAAATTAATTAATATGATATGTTTTTTTCTAAAACACTCAAATTATTCTCTTAATTCTCTCCCTCCTTCCCATACTAAATTATTGTCAAGGAAATATAAATAGAATTAATTTGAAAAGAAATTGATAAATATGTAAAATAAGTCTTACATATAGGACTAATATTAACTTTCAAATCAAGTGTTACATTAAGGGTCCAAAGAGTATGTTCTTCTTCAAGTTGTGTTTTGTTCTACTCCCTCTAGTTGAATTTTTTGTCGTTTTATAAGATTATTTGATAAATATTTTATATATATTAATAAGAATAATATTAAAAATTACTTGAATTTTACCATAAATATAATATTTTTAATTGTTTTTATTAGTACATGTGAAAAATAAGTAGTAGAGAGAGTCACCTGTTTTGATATGATATGGTGACACGTATATGTTGCATGAATCAGAACAGTTTTAAGTGTCAATGTTTCGTGGCTTGCGAGATGATTATGCGGATTTAGACATTTTCCTCTTTACTTTTTTTTAAAAATCTCATCTCCATGTTTTAGTTTAGATTTAATATTTTGTAAAACTATACTTATAAAAATATATATAAAAAGAAGTTAAAAATTACAATATTTCAATCCAAACATCTAAGACTTCAGGGAAAAAAGTGATGCCTGATTCGTTATTTTGCAAATGTAGTTAAATGATAAAAATACTAGTATACAAGTTATGAACTAGTAATGAAAAATGTTAAACGACAAAAACTCTATTAAAAATAACAAATTTAACAGCTATTTTTTCAAATATGATACTTTTAATCATTTGATTACATTTACAAAATATTAGATCAGGCCGCATTTCCTCCTCTGCAATTTTGAGCTCTTAGGCACTGAATTCAAATTAATGCAGTTGTGAACTTCTTTTTATGTCATTTTTCTTATAAAAATAAGTAAATAAATTGAAACTGTAAATTTGACTTACACAATTTATATTTGTAATGTAGAACAACAATCACTCGGTGTGGTTAAATTGTAGTATAGCAAAATTTAATTTTATAAATATTATAATCATAGTTTTATAAAATATTAAATACAAACTATTCATTCTTTTTATTTAAAGGTGGAGATAATTTTGAAAAGGAAAGTTAAAAATCTATATCCGTTGGTATGGATTGACGAGCTTAATTAATGTGAAAAAAATGGAAATGGAGAAGTAATATGTGAGGGACAATTTATGGGCACTTGTACCATTTTTTTTAAAGCCCTTCTATTTATATCCCCAAGGTTTTTATAGCATGTTTATTTGAGTGAATAAGAGGTGTTCTCTGCCCCAAAATAAAAAATTGTGTCAATTTTGCCCGAGATTATGAAGAATTTTGATTATACCTTTCTTATTTAAAATATTTTAATTTGTATATTTTAAAAAAAACCATTATTTTATGTATATGTTTAATTGCCAATTCTCTTAAAAATATTAGCTTTCCAGTTTATATCAAGATAGTGTTCATGATTTGAAAACTCAACTTGGGTCATCCGATTTAGTCACTTTAATTTATTTCTTTCATTTCTTGCTTGTTTTCCATCCAACCTTAAATGGAAAAAAAAACTATGATTTGTTCCTGCCTATAATTATCAAACACATTTAGTCTGAAAATGACCTTTTCATTTTCAGCCAAAATAAAAATAAAAATGACCTTTCCATGATGGTCCACTCACTCTCCCTCTCCTTGTCCATTTTACATTTTCCTCAAAAGTAACCTTAGCATCTGATATTTAAACAACATTCTGATATCCTTAAACAAACACCAATAGGGGGGGAAAAAAAAGGTCACTTGAGGATAGTTTTATCATTAACATGACAACAAATAGTTGAAGTTCCAGGCACAAAAAGTGGGAGGCAAGAAGCCTATGGAGTAACATTTAAAGACGAGAATGGAGTCACACACCAAGCATACTTGAAAGGAAAAGGTGAGATAATATTGTCAGCAGGTGCAATTGGAAGCCCACAAATACTGATGCTGAGTGGGATTGGGCCGGCCCAACATCTTCAGGCCCATGGTATCAAAGTGGTGTTGGATCAGGCCATGGTGGGGCAAGGCATGGCTGATAACCCAATGAATGCTTTGGTTGTGCCTTCTCCTCTACCTGTTGAACTCTCTCTTGTCCAAATGGTGGGCATCACCAAGTTTGGGAGCTATATTGAAGGTGGCAGTGGATTGGGTTTGGGGATTCCTTGGGTTCATGCCCTTCAAAGGATACTTGAGACTTTGTCCAATAAGGTTAGTATTATGCAATACTCACTAAGTTAGTTCACATACCTTACCTTTAATAATAAGTCTAAGTTTTGGATTGCCTCCAATAGGAAGATACTTATGCTTTAGCAAAAAATAAGTCTAAGTTCTATATGATATGACAAACTAATGCTTATATTTTCATTAAAAGAGGAGGTCACATTTAGTACTTAGCAATATCTCAAATAGATTCCAATAGAAAGATACTTGTGCAGTCAAACAGAAAAAGTCTTAGTCAAAACAAATTTTCATGAATACAAAACCCTAACAAATCAGCATAGCATGACCATGCATACATCTTTGAATGGATTCATATCTTTTGAAATAGCTTAAGAAGTAAATTTAATAACATGCAATATAATGTATAATTGAATTGCATACAGTTTAATTATGTTTGAAGAAACAAATAGTCTTATAGTTTAGTGACATAAAAGGTCTCTTATAAGTGGGAGGTCATAGGTTCGATTGTCCTTATAATTTTAAACTTACAGTGTCTCCTAAGAAAAAAATTTATCAATTTGAAGTGATAACTTAAGTGGTTCTTATTTGAAGACGGGCCAACCCTCCATGTTTTCCCCTCAAGCAAATGAGACTATATGGACAAAAACTTTTGGATCCCTTGGGAGTGTAAATCTTAAAGGGGGAATCATAGTGGAAAAAGTCATGGGACCTCTCTCAAAAGGCCATCTTGAGCTGCATACCACTGATCCAAACGACAATCCATTAGTCACATTCAACTACTTCAAGGAACCTGAAGACCTTAGGATCTGTGTTGAAGGCATGAAAACCATCATTGATGTGATAAACTCCAAAGCTTTCTCAAAGTTCCGATATAAGAATGTGCCAGTGCGAGCCTTAATTGACTTGGTCTTGAGCTTACCAGTGAACTTGAGGCCAAAACATCCAAGTGCTGCTTTCTCTTTGGAACAATATTGTATAGACACTGTCTTAACAATCTATCACTATCATGGAGGCTGCCATGTTGATAAGGTTGTGGATCGAGATTATAAAGTTATGGATGTGGATTCTTTGAGAGTTATTGATACTTCTACCTTCTTTAGCTCACCTGGGACCAATCCTCAAGCTACTGTAATGATGCTTGGAAGGTATAGTACATTATTAACATATATATTCATAGACTTGTGAATCTGGTAGAATGTTTAGGTTTTTATTATTCAATTAAAACATCATATATAGGATGATTTTCTTTCTTTATTTTTTTCTTTTTCTTTGTTTTTTCGAAGTTACTTTTCATCTAGAATCAGTGAATAAAATGGTTAGTAATTAAGGAACATCTAAATTTAGTTCATAATATTGTTGTAATTGGAGCTTATTAAATGACTTTTTTTTTAACGACAACTTTGACGCAGGTATATGGGGCAGAAGATTTTAAGAGAAAGATAGTGAAGAGGGTCCTTGAGTCCTTGTTTAATGTTTTGTCCTTCGCTTTGCAGTATCTTTCGTCTGCGTGTCCATTCTAAGTAATCAGAAATTAGTGATATTTAATCCACTACTTCTAAGTAAATTACAAGGTTATGATGTTAAAAATGCCTTCTTCCTTCTTTACACGCGCCCATATCGCAAATATATAGAAGGGTGACACACAGCTATCACAATTACATACCAAGCCCTCGTCTTCTTCTTTTTGCAAAAATGCATGTTGCATTACCGTACCTTTATTAACAATCAGTCGTTCCATAGTGGTCAGACGATTCAAGTACTTCTCCATTGCTTATTATAAGACCTAATTGAAGAGTTGACATTTTTCTTATATGTAAGATTTATTTTACATATTTATCAATTTTTTTTTTAAATTAACTCCACTGATATCAATGATCAAGTAGAGGAGGGAGGAAATAAAAAAGATACTTATAGTATTTTAGGAAAAAAATATCATATTAACTAATTTTACTAACATCCTTAATTTACTCAAATTAATTAATCAGCTTTTATATTAAAAATTAGATAATTAGTATAAAAGAGCCACATGCATTTATTGAATCCTTGTGTTTTGAACTCAAGAATACATATCAAATAGACATATGGGTAAAAACATCAAATTTACCCTCAAAACCGAATGGGCACCTATTATTAATTATGAGCAATGCCGGGGGGATGGACCAAGGTTTCGCTCACCGGTTCCCAATCAACGTAGAACAAACGCCAACAAAAAAAAAAACAGATGAAAACAGAAAAAACGGTTGTGTTGGGTGGGTCATGGGTTCTTTTTTTTTGTCTTTTTTTCCCATTTAGTTCTTTTTCAGTGTGACCTTCTCACTTTTTGTTGGAGAAGTCATGGATACTATTGAGACAAGTGGCAGAAGCAGAGAAAATCATGAAAAGGAAGACCCGTTGGGAAGTTTGTTATGCGCTGCTTCGAAGCCGATATGCTCATGAAAGAGTCGAAAGCAAGGAGGAAGATAAGTAACAGAGTAGAATGGATGTGCAGAGAGAAAAAATGGTTATTGGTTTTCACCTCTCTTTGAAAAAGAAAGAGAAATTAGACTATGAGAGAGGAAGAAACCAATTTCACTAAAGAAGAGGAGACATGTGTTTCAAGAAGCAATTTTGAATCTGCTATGTTCATTGTTCAAGGAGGAGAGAGGAAGAAAAAGCTAACCTCATGATGTGTGTCATGAAAAAGAAAATGTGCAATACTCATGTAGAAGAGAAAAGAAAGAGATAAATTAATTTAAAAAAGGAATATTTCATGGGGGGAAGGAAAAAAATAGAAATAAAAAAAGAAATTTTTTTATATAGATAAATATTTTTCAATATCCTAACAAATATTTTGTAATATGAGTAGCATTAGAAAAAATAAATACTCTTCCGGTTCTAAATATAAAACTCATTTTGTAGTGTATTTTATACTATAAAATAAGTAATATACTACAAAATGGGTCTTATATTTAGAACCATAGGAGTATTATTTTTTATAATTAAACTATGAATATTTTTGCTCATTTTAATTAAATTATATTATTTTCAATATTGACCCACTAATCTTGAATTACTACCTCAACTGATTTAGTATCCAGTGTAGTTTTTGGTTGCTTAATTATGAGGCATTGCATCCGGTTGATTTGATTTCCAAAGATGTTTACTACACCTTCTTTGAAAATATATCTAAAAATTATTATATAATATTATTATCATAAATGACAAAAAATATTTTAATGAATTAATAAAATTTGAGATTAATACATTATAGCCAAAGGAAAAAAAAACTTTGTTGGTCATTGTTTACTATAAAAATTAAACTAATCAAAGAATAGTAGACCTTTTTTTTGGGTACAAAGAATAGTAGACCATTTATTTTGTAATCTCGAACTATTTTCTCAGCCCTAATTTTTGTTGATGGTGGTTTTAAGAACCACCAACAATTGAACACCTGATAATATTTGTTTGTGCCATAGTGATAAGACATTAAATGGTATGTTAAAAGTGTAATCTCTTTTGATAGACACCAGAAGATAACCATTGAATTAAATGTGCATAATCTTTCATTTGTTTTTTTATTTAAGAAAAAGTTGGTACTTACTCAAGACAAGGCATCTGAAAAGGGCAAATGATAATAGAGCATTTTGACTAATACAAAGTACCTACGAAATCAGAGTATCGACTAAATTGTTAAGTACTTCCAGATACATCCTATTGAAGGTCGTATCAGTAAGTAGCATTTCCATCCTTATCGACATTTAAGCATTCCATAGAGGTACAATGAGTCTGATATAGTTTGAAATAGCTCACTTTCTGATTAGTTTAGCTCCATGCAAGGATGCACCTGAATTTGAATCCGATATAAGTATGAAGATAAGAATATGAAGAGACACATCAGATCGACGTATACAGATGAGATTGGCTGATTCACAAACATAACTCATGATCATTGTTGATAACATGCAATGAATTGAAGAGACTTGTATATAGAAAGAGACTAGCATATAAATATCATGAATTGATGTCCTATGGTGATCAGCTAGAAGCCCATAGGCCTCACTGCTTCTATGTTTCATTTAGCTTTGAGAGGGGAAGAGAGAGCTGCAGAAAGCAAATGGGTAAGGGTGGTGAAACTCATGGAGGAGAAGAAAATAGGGCGCTTGGCTTGTTGGCATAAACACCCTCAAGATTCAACCTTCAAGCTTCCTACTCTGGATATCTATTCTCCCTCACTTGAGCAAGTCTTTATTTTCTTTTGAGATTAATAATATAGCCGATCTTTACTTGTCAGTGAAATTTCATTAACTTACTTCTTTTTGCATGTCGGAAGGTCCCCATGATGTCAGAATTCGAATGAAAGCTGTTGGCATCTGTGCCAGTAATGTTCGCTACCTTAAGGTAAACATTTTTCTGCTGCATCTGAATCATGTCACATAAAAGTATACAAGAAATAATTATTCTATAAATTATCCCCTTCATATATCCAGGTTCTTTCCATTAACAAGTTTTGATTTTATTTATTTTTAGACAATGATAATAGCAGATATTGTAGTGAAAGAACCAATGGTGATTAGCCATGAGTGTGCAGGGATCATAGAAGAAGTTGGTAGTGAGGTTAAGAATCTTATGCCCGGTGATCGTGCGGCAATTGAGCCTGGAATCAGTTGCGCACATTGTGGCCCCTACAAACAAGGTCGATATAATTTATGCCCTGATATAAAGTTCTTTGCTACTCCAAGGTTCCCTTGCTAACCAGGTTTGAAAGAATTCATAGCTCCTCATATTTCCCTAAATAATGTTAATATGGCTCATCATTTATGATGATAGAAAGACATACATGGATGATTATATGCTTAGCAAAGCACAAAATACAATATGTACAATTATCCATTTGATCATATTTTAATATATTCTGGTCCTATTTTCGTATTAATAGAAGTAGTTTGTCATTTGATTCTTAACAGTTTTATGTAAGTGCAAATTAGAGAAATCAAAGGTGTCCCTATTCAGAATAGAGTTGACAATGATACATTTTTCCGATTTAATAGATACAACATAGAGAAGATGGCTTCAAAAAATTTAATTAACTGCCCATGTGTGAATTGTAGCTTGTGTATGATTTGTTGAGGAGTAATAATGAGATTGTTTACTGACATAATTTAGGGACAAAAAACATACTCCTGTATTTACTTACCATTGATCCAGGAAAGCATCAACTGATTCAGTGGTTAGAGTGTCAAATGTGTTCATTTTGGGCCTTTTTAGTTGTGACAGTAATTTTGCTTTTATCTAAGAAGTTATACAAAGGTATAACAAGCAGGGCAAAGTGCCTAGGAGTCAGAACAACATGCTATTGCTGACAGGGTTAAAACCGTCCAACAGTTTAGAAGTGCATATACTGGTTACAAAGGATAAAAATTACTATCTAAAATATTTACGAATAAAAAGTCGAGATTATGCTTTAAGTCCTTACTATAACCTATTTGTGAGGTGTTACTTTATGTGTCTATCCATGCCTGTGGTTAAGTGTGTAAATTTACTCAAATCAAAACCAATGTTTGAGCTAAACTATTCTTTTGGCAGATAGTGTAACCTGCAGACAGTATATATTTCCACCGAATTTAGTTAGGATTTTCCCTTAAAAAATAATGTAACTTGTAAAGATTAAATAACTATTATTTTCATTTTTCTTTGCAATCGCGCTTCTTTCCCTTGTTCATTCATTCGTTTTTTTTTTCCTTTTTAGATTGGAATAAAAAAATTTTAGACATATGTTTGTTCAAGATAGCAAATTTAACTTTGTTAATTTTTATCTTAATTTTAGATTTTTGGAAAATAACTTATATGAAAACAGAATGAATTGTGAAATCATTATTATTTATATTTTAAAAAATATTATTTTATTTTTTTTATATTTTTGCAAGATAATTTTTAAAGATAAGATGCGATTGTGAGACTTTTTTTTGTCGAAAATTTTCAACATAATTTTTATTTTCTAATAAATTCAATAACTTAATCATGACTTCTTCATTTTAGTGAAGTGATTGGAGATGCCTTATAATAGAGAGCCATATATAACATGCTCTGATGTGAGGACAAACTGTAAGGTTAACACTTTATTGTTAAATCAACCAAGAAATAAAAAACCGAACCGAATACTAAACTGGTTGCAATAGTAGTTTATGAATGAGTTGATTAAATAGGGGTCAACTCGGAGTTAAACATGTCATATTAAAATAATATAATTCAGATGAAAATAACAAAATACAACAATATTAATAATCACTACTAACAATTAAGATACAGGAAAATATAACAATAGTTTGATTGTAACAATAATAAAGTATAATAACACTGAGAATTTTAATCCTTAAAATTCATTAATAACTAAAATTAATAATCATTGATACTAAAATCATTATTAAAATTCATTCAAATATATAGTGACTGAGATATTAGAAGCTGAATGGGAAAATATATGACTGATAACAACATAAGTATCAAAACCAATTTATCACCATTCACCCGGATTTGACTTATTCAATACCGGTTTAACTCCTGGTCGGTTCAAAACCTAAACCAAACCAAACCAAATTACTGGTCGATTCACTAGTTTTTCAATTAAATCAGCCGGTTCAGTTTGATTTTTTCCCCCTTGAAATCATCCCAATTAAAGGAGGCAATAGCATGACTCGGAAAGAAAAGTATACTGAAAGTCACAAAATTATTGAAAATACAAAGAA